TAATTTTGCAAATGACCAATGAAAAGCAAATGTGAGCAAATGTGCGAGTTCATTTTTTATTGAAAAGACAACTGTCAATGATGTCAGAAAGCCTGGACTTTAATTTATAGCGAGGAATGGTTATATGTTCAGTTGAAAAGACTTTTAAAAGGAAGATGTTTGAAAACATATTCCTTGAGTAGAAGTCTAAGCGTTTAAATTTAGAATCTATTTACACCAATTACTATAATGTATGTGAATGCCCTTTTCATTCAAGGTATGAAGCTTATTTTAACGTATGTTGTACGATACAACATAACTTTGGTAAGTTTAAGCTTTATTATTTAAAAAAGTGTAAACCTTTTCCAAGTTATGTTATATATCGTATAACATTCCTTGAATGAAAAGGATTCATTCCTTATGATTTTAATTTAAGTGTAGACAATTAGACAATTTTCCTCTGAAAATCCAATCAAACTGAGCAAATTTTTAAAAGTAATGTTTAGCGAAGCGGTCTAATATGTTTTTGACGTAAGTAATTGTGACGTAGGCAACCTATGTTATACGATTTAAACTAAACCCTTTTTTTCTAGCAAATGACGAGATACACCTAAAATTAAAAATGTTGTAAAATGCTTATTGAGGCAAAAAAACCTTCTACGTTTTAAACAAAAAAACAAAAAAAAAAAAAAAAAAAAAAAAAAAAAGAAAAAAGAAAATGCAAATAATAAATAAACAAGAAAAAAAAACAGGCATAAACATACCTTTATAACTTTTGCTTTTGTCACTTTTGTTTGAAACACTGACATGTACTGAAATCTTTATAAGTTTCTTTAGCTTTGATATGGAGGTCGGTGAAGTATACCCAGTCAACGGGTCACTCTTACAAAATATTATCATCCAGCTGTGATAAATATACCTCATTCTTGACGACCAAAGACATTATTAGAAAACGTACCTGTGACATGAGTCTAGAGGAGCCCATGTTCATTATGATCGAAGAGTTTTCTTGTGGTAAAATATCTCAATAACTCTAGTTTGATTTTCTTCATTTTTCCTTGTGTGACCTGCGCTTGTTAAATGATGAATTATTTCTATTGATTCATACTGTACAAAATTATGAAAGTTTCAAAATTTTACAGGCCAATCAAGAACTCTTGTGAAGTATGTTCGCTCTAAAATTACAGGAATAAATTGATTCAAATGATACTCAGAGACAGAAATTCTTTAAAATCCGTAGTGGATATTCACCCAATCTTATATTTTTCTTTTAAAAATCAGTATTTACATGGCTAATCTCCTGTTATTTCCTACAATATTTTAAAAACGTCTGTTATAGCTGGAACCAAAAAGAACGAGATCGCGAAATGGGAAAGCCCGGATCCCAGATGGTAGCACTGATTGCAATGAAATTTCATCCAACATACAAGAAATAAACCTTTGTCTCTAATTTAAAAACATAAATAAAACTAAAATGATATGACCGGTCGGCTGGGTATGCTCACTATGCTTATGGCAGCTGATCCCACCTCTGATATCTTAGAGGTCCATGTTTGGTCTGCTCCTGAGCTTTATTAATTTAGATGGTCTTTGAGCGTGAGTACCATTTGTTCTCTCCATGTTTCATTTGATTACTTATATGTCAAAGAATAAATACCTTGCGCAAAGCCGCCTATTTTAGAAATTTCAGTAGCTTCATGTTTTTTCGATTATTATCATTGGTAATTGATAAATATTTATTTTATTTGGTACACATACATTACATATTTTCCTCAAAATTCTTCTAGTTATCAAATTTATTTCCTAAGTAAGGTCTCAGAGACTATATTTACAACCAGAAAAGACAAGAAATAGTTCAAAAATCATTCGGAATTCCATCTGAATACAAAGGTCGCACAAAATTCCATGCGATTACAAAGGTCACACAAGATTTAAAATAGTTACAAAGGTCATTCGATATCACACGTGGTCACAAAGGTAAAAACCGTGATTTGCTGGTTTAGCTATAAGAGTACTATTAATCTGAATGAATGATATACTTTTATGAGGAATAGTGAATGAATTAATCCATTTTTAATAACAACATTGTATTTTCTACAAAAAAAAAAATCATCAATAAAATGGACAGAACAAGCCTGTATCATTTGTTTTTAATTTTTAATTCTCGTTAGTTAATTAAAGTTGATTTGAAGGTAGATTAATAATTGATCTTCAACAGAATCTTCTTACTAAATAAAATACTTTCAAGTGAGAAAAATGATTAAAATGCATCACTGGGTGAAAGTTATCTCTTACATTAACTTTCACAATGCATGAGAAAAGGTCAGGTATAGAAAGCATTAATAATATATTTTTTTTTAATATTTATGCCTTCATATTAATTCTATTTAGTAATAACTTTACTAAGTATAATTGAGTTAATTTAAACATAGAGTATCTATTGATGATTATTTATCTAATTATTTCTTATCTTGATACAATATATCCTGGTGAGCTTGAGATAAAAGATACCAAAGAGTCTGACACATGTGCTTCATATTTTGATATTTTTGTCTTTGAACATATGTTGACACTATAATCTTAATTTAAAAATACCTTGAAAACATTATAAGTAGGTTAAGTGCGTCGCGTATGTCCTTTATACGAAATAATAGATACCTAGAGCAGCACTTGGTCAGCACTATAACTCGGGTTCAATACACAGCCAGCAATTCATCAATTTATATTGTGACAGAATGATGTCCAAACCTTTTATTGCCCTATAGTTGAACTATCTACACTTCGAAAAAACCACCTTAAACTTCTACCCGATGGCTGAACTCTGAGTTTATATAACTATTGCAGCATTCATCTGACCACCGCTATCGGCTACCTAAACAACACCAGTTCCCGGACAGCCGTCTTAATGAATAAATTCTTTCGAAAGCATATTCAACAATGCGAATGGTAATAAATATCAGTTTGATCGGTTTAAAGCATGTCACGTGTAGGGAGTCAATTAAGAAATAAGATATCAATTTTAGAGTTTCATTAAGGCATGACATGAAGTCGTTCACGTGATCAAAGGGCGTTATAGTAGATTTGATCACGTACCGACTTCAAGTCATACCCCAGTATTTACATTTCCAATAAATTTCCCTATGATTCTTTACAAAATAAAATGCAGTTTATTTTCTCATGAACTACATTACATATATACCACGAGTACATCAATATCTCCATTGTTACGTCATAATACCGCATTTGATTCTATTCATAAACCCACCCCCACACATACACACACAATGAATAAATAATTATATAAATAAAAACAACAAATGTAAGAAAAACCGCATTAGAAATATTCTGTTTATGCTTGTTCCGTATACTTTACGTAATTTAACTCAATTTCGAAAGGAAAACCATAAAACATCCATGTATTAAAGCTATTGATAACTTTCTAATGACCCCCAATATATAACACGATGTTACTCTGCATTGACACAATTAAGAGAAACAAATTTGAAACAAATTACTTAATTTACAATGCTTATTTTAAACAAATTTGCAGATAACTTCAAAAGAAGTTCATAATATTTAACGTTGACTTAATTAATATTTTTAAAGGGATATTGGAGATATCAGTAACAGAACGATCCCTAAATACGCGTATGTGAAAACGTTCAAACATGTATAAACGACCATAGGTTTTTCGGTGAAATTGCAAATTAAACTTTAAGGAAATTTGCACAAATTTTAAAATTTTCCGACTAACCGGTTACAGATTTCGTAATCGATTACCATCGTTCCGACCGATTAATCGGTTACAAGTTGTCACCCCTAATATATATATTTATCATACAAAGTAGTATAAAAAATCTAGCATTAACGCTTTACACAAAAGCAGAGCTGGATTCGGGATTCTAAGTCCTTATTCTTGCAGTACTAAATCTACATTCAAGTTTAATAATTGTAAGACATAAATTTTCAACAAAGTTTTGTTATGTATATATGTTCAAATCATTCCAAGATTTGTCATTTTACATTTATTTATAAATTTCAACCTTAACAGAGCGACTTCATCGATGATTTGGTCACCAGTTATTTATCAATTAAAGTATTCATAATAGGCCTTCATTCAATTTAAGATTTAATTCCTCTTCAATTTAAAAAAAAAAAACTAGGTAAGTGGGAAAATGAGAGCAAATATAACATGATTATTATGTTACTTATTTTAGAAGTCTAAGGAGGTAAAAATCCAATATCTTCAGCGGATGGCAATTTAGATTAATGACTGTACCAAATACACAGATGAATAGAATAATGCTTTATAAAGATATTTTAAGCTTAAGGAGAAAAAAGTTTCAGTGCCGCCAAAAACTAAAAAAAAAATCCCCTATAGATACTGTTCATCTACAGATCATTACACTAAAACAGGACGTTTTTGTAAACTACTTTTAATCATTATATATTCACTAACTGTTAAGTACCATGATCTCTACAATATATAAACTACTTTTATAAATCAACCTTAAAATTTAGGATATTGAAAACACCGCTTACCAAATATTAGTGCCTTCTAAGTATATATTAATATCAATTTTTTTTATCACATTGTTTTATATTCAATTCAAAATATAATAATTTCCAGAACGAGATCTTGATTTTCACTCGGTATAGTTGTCCAGACTTGGATAAAACCATTTGTTGTTGCCTCCGAGACAACCATTTTGTTTACAGATCAATGATCAGAATGTGTATAAAAAGTTAAATAGCATATTACCATTCACCATCTTTACGGTATAGAGTTTGCAGTGATTTCATAATAAGCCTGATTTAATCAATGTAGATATAGATGGCAGACATAATGAAGCTTTTTTACTTTGTACTAATATTTTTGGGAGTCGAGTGTCAGGAGCTTCGGTATCATGGGGAATTTTGTCTGAGGTTTTTTGGGAAGCTTCCAATTAAAGACTATTAAACCATTTTCTCGGAAGAGGATCAAACGTTTGGAAGAACGATAAATAAGTGTTCTCAATTTTGTGCACATGACCAACGTTGTATAGGGATAGAAATTTGTCAAATCAGACAGGATTTGTTTCAATGTCGAGTTTGCTGTGAGTGGAAGAAAATAGGAACAAACAACATTGATGAACATCCCGGATGTAAATACTTAGAAATGGTAAAATTTACCACCCAAATATTAACCTAATCTTAGTTTTAATGATTTTTTTTCTTTGTATCTAGTCTTCATTTTAACCTAATCTTAATTTTTATTTTTAGGTTTTTGTCTTTGGATCTAGCTTCAATTTTTCTTTCCAACTTAGTTTTATGATTGAAAATTGAGTTTATTCGAGCTGTTTATGGTTATAAAACTATACATGAACCATGGATCATCTAGTTATCATTTTGCATTCAATTTTGATAATTTCATGAGACTTCTACATTGTATGTATCTTACTCTAAATCGATATAAATTCAATGATATACATTTTTAATTTTTAGGAAGATAGGAGCAGTGAAAACTGTAAGTATTTTTTTCATTATTGCAAATTTACCTTTAAAGACTTAATTGTAAAGAAGGTGTGCCTCCTATAGAATTACAGTTATATACCATTTAAAGCAAGACAGAAAAAAAAAATAAAAGGATTCCCTTCAAAAATATATCTACAATTTGTAAGTATAAAAGAAATTAGATATCATTTTTAGGGTTTCATGAGAATATGACATGAACTTGGTCATGTAATCAATTTCTATGACGTCATGTGACGTCACAGTCTAGACCCTCCAAAAGTCTAACGCAGTTTGTTTTCCATACGCTTATCATGTGATCAAGTGCATCTCATTGAAAACTGACCGTAAATTTAATTTTTCAAGGAAGGTCATATCTGTAAATGTAAATATTGAATTGCCTTTCCATTTCAAATTCCCTGATTCCAATTATTGAGTTTCTTTTAGCAGACTTAAGTAAACCTTAAGAGGTTTTGATCAGTCGGCTTATAACTTTTATACAGTAGCTATGAATGCCACAATGAGCACGGCTTACAATATCAACCACTTAGCATCAAACGCAGTAGACGGTATATCAACTTGCATTATAGAATCATCACCGGCTCGAGTAGCACACATTGATCTGGAGATGCGACCATGGCTGAAGATCATTATGAAGAATTCCGTCAATGTTAAGAAAGTGTTGATTTACAACAGACAAGATTGCTGTGGTAAGTCATGTTCATGGATCTTTACACATGTTTTGAAAGAAATTCTGAGAATATACACTTATTTCATTAATACAAGGGGAACAATCAAACTGTTGTCGCGAGGTAATGGGGAAGACCTGGGAAACAGTTTCTCATGTCTTCTTCTATCATTTTAATTAGGAATTCCTAAAGGATACCCTTTAAGATATATAAAATGTTTAATTTTACAGGGAAACGATTTCATAATGTCGAGGTGAACGTAACAGAAATTGGGCACAATACTCCATGTGAATTTTATCCTGGTCCTGGTGAAAGTAAAGATTGCATATTATTTCTGTGTGAAAATGGCGCCCGGGGAGATGGCGTCATAATATCCATTGTCGAAAATGAACAGCCTGTACATTTAGGTGTATGTGAAGTCGAGGAGTTTGGTCAGCCCTAAGACATACAAATGCCGGAGTGTGTGTTTTTGGATTGACCAAATAAATAGGCTAGATTAGCTTTACTTTTTCATCAACAAACGTTTAATTTGTAAATTTAATATTTAAAAAAAAATTCAAAATGTGAAGAAAAATGAATCTTTGAAAATTACTATCCGAGTACTCTGATTAACAATACATTTATTAATTTGTTCAAAATATGACTGCATAGGAATTAAAAACATATCTTATTCGAAAATTTGATCTATCCGTGTTTTTTTTATAATGAGAAATACCTGGACATTTATTTTCGTTCACAGAAACTTACGTGTAAGATCATAATAATAAGTAGATTGTACATTTTTCAGAAAAAAAATATCTGATTAAAAATGCTGATATTAAAATATTTTTCGAATTCCTTTTAAAAAGATTAAACAAATTTTATTCACATGTCCATTAGAAATTAGAAATTTATTCATTACCTGCATACGGAGTTTATATCTCTCACTTAATTAGATATGCAATAGCATGCATTACGTATGTACAATTTCTAAAACGAATTAAGTTGTTGACAAACAAGTTTTTGATGCAATAATATTAGAAGTGTCGTTTAAAGAATAGAATTCATTTCGAATGTTCTATAGTAGATACAATAGCCTTGTTAGGTAATACAATTTTTGATTGAGTTAAATGCTGACTGATGTTTTTACATACTGATTGTTAGTATTGACTGATTATTCATATACCTAATTGACGACGAATTTTCCTGTAATTTCCCGTTCATGATAAGGAGCACACGGCGTGTGTGACCGTTTGGCAGCGGATGCTTACTCCTCGATGGCATTTGATCCCACCTCTGATATTTGTCACTCATCCACGGCATCTGATCCCATCTCTAATGTTTAAGGAGTCCCGTGTTTATTCTGCTCCTATTTTGTATTGTTTAATGGACATTTAAGCTTGAATGCTATTTGTTATCATTATATATTTCATTATTAGTAGAATCAAATTTTGGTTTTTCTTCTTTTTAAACGGGCCCCTGGTGTATCCGGATCTCTATGCATTGAAACGTGATATCAAGTGGACAAATGATAAAGATTATTACAATGTATGAAATCATATCACAAAATATCGGAGATATTTTTTGTATATTATATAGAATAAGAAATGTAATTATGAAAAAGGTTTAAAAAAATCTAAAAAGTATAGTAAATAAATGTAAATTGATCTTTCTTTGATTTATTTGATTTTTTGAAACTAGTCATTTTTGTATCATGCGTGACTGTTTCTTTAGTAAAAATGAAACTTGAATTTTATTTCTAGTGATTTGACATCTGCAAAATTTCATACTGAATTTACTAATTAGAACTCAAAAGATAATTTTAAAAGGATGCTGAAAATTCCCCTGAAATAACTTATAGACAGTATCTATTTACTCTGCAAAAGCAGTCCTTTCTGAAATATATCTGAACAATTGTTACTTCTAGTCGTATATCGACGATATTTAATGAACTTTTTAAAAGTTTTATGTGAGTTATGCGTGTGAAAATCACACAGACTTGTCACGTAAGCATGTTTTCTGAAGTTCGCTAGCGCTTCATGAAAAAAAAATGCCTACGTGCAAGTCTGTGTGATTTACACATAAACAATTTATAAACTTTAAACCATCCCTTATACAATGTACTTACTCTTTACATATGTAAAAGCACCAAAAATATACTCTGAGTCAATACTTGCATGAATTTCTCGCTGCTCTATATCGTTTTATTTTTACTAACGTCGCTGTAATGTTACTGTGACGTCACGTTAGCGCAAATTTCTCTTAGCATATTTTTACGTGTGAGTATACACGAAAATGGTACTAAGTATTCAAATCAATCTCACAGTTAGTACTGAATAACAGAGCTAATATAAATATGTCCAAATGAACTCATGAATTCAGACTGAAATAAATTACAGAGTCTAATAAGTCTGTATTATATTTTATAATTGGTGTTGAACTGACCATAGATTATAAGTGAGTATAAACGAGTATAATCAACAAAATGGAATGACAATCGAGATTTTTTTTAGCTTTTCTATCGACATTTTCCCTTATTTTGTAGTCATTGGTATATTATGTGTTTGTCTTCTAATGTATTATGGGCACCACTCAGATGTTTTTTTTTTCATCATGACATGAGCACTATTATTTTTATTGTTAATGTTTAACCGTGTGTATCCATTTGTTTACTCCGCACACATCACTGAACACGGACTAACACTAAGTACTTGTGGGTTTATTACGATTTTGCTTTGCATCTCTGCTCAACACCTCACATTGATTTATTGATCTACAAATGAAAAGGCCTAAAACGCGCCTAGATATATATTTTAGTTTATAATGCTCAAGAAAGATCTAAATCCTATTGTATATCACGATGAGATAATACCGCTTTAACTAGCTGAAGTCAATTTTTGAAAACTTCCTGAAATGTGCTGAATTCAATAAATTGTATGAGAAATATAGATTAACAGAAAATATTATAGTTTCATAGCAGTGTTTTCACAATGTTTGTTTTTATGACGTCACAAACTAGTCCGATTTTATATCCTTTTTCAGAAAGAGGACAGAATGGACAAAATTTCAACAATTTAGCTTTAAAATTTATAGAGCGCAAGTTTGTTCAGGAACAATATTGACAAATTTCATTGATATTATCATTCTACACATTATATCAAAATATTGATCTTGAACACACATGCGCTCGGTGACTTTTACTCAAGATATCGATGAAATAAATGTATGTACATTTTTCTGTAAAATTCATAAAAAACTGAAATTTACGTCACGTTTGTGACGTCATTACGTACATATGACGTCATTACTTATGAATATGAAAATATTCAGTGCTTTGAAGTAAGCATATACTCCTCTGTTTAAGAACTTAATTAAATATATCTCCATCAAAGTTTCTTTTGAGGGGCAAATATTGGTTAATACCGAATAAAGTTCTTTTTTTTGACGTAGGACATGTACTTGCATGTCGACTATTTCCCAAGGCGCATCCGAGCGAAAAAAGACCTGCTGGAGGAATTGGAATCTTGCTAACTCCCTCAATGATATACTTTTAACTGTTTATTATACCGATAAAAAGTAAAATGAAATAGAGAATTCCGAAAGAGGGGATATTAGCTTTCACAGCGGGGATTAACTCACTTGACTAACTCACGGGGATTAGTCCATTGACATATTATACCGATAAAAAAGTAAAATCTAGAGAATTACAAATAAATGCGAATTACTTCTAAAGAAGGGATTAGCTCACTTGACTAACGCACGGCCATTCACAGTGATTTCAAGGGAATTATTCAGATTTTCCTACCTTATTTTTATAAAAGAAAAAAATCAGAAGAGGTATAATAAATGGTGATAACGAACTGTATTCAGGATCAAAAACTCATAAAACGATATAAAATAGGAGCAGAGCAAATATGAACCCCTGAACATCAGAGGGTGATCAGGTGCCATGGAATGGTTAGCATCCCCTGCTGACCGGTCACACCCGCCGTGTATTCCTTGTCATGATCGGAAAAGGACGAAAAATCGATCGTCAATTCTGTGTATAAATGATGGACTAACAATTAGAATGTTTGTCAACAATTTACCTTGTTTTAGAAATTTGTCATATGTAGAGCATGCTCTTGCATATCGAATCAGTTGAGATAGATACACTGCATGCAGATGATGAAGGTACATATATATTGCTGCATAAATATAATGTAAATTGAAGATAGAAAAGTTAAAGACATCAATTTTTTGTTTGGAGTTTGATCACCATTCACGTCTTTTTCAAGTAAAATATCCAAATATGAAACAGATGTGTCAAACTCTGTGTTATCTTTTATCTCAAATTTACCAGGATATATCGTATCGACATACCAGAATGGGAATCACTATACATGTATAGTCTCCAAAAACAACATAGAATAACAGAAACTCAAGCACCTTTGATGTCGACTTCAGAGTTCTTCTTGTATGTACAATTAGAATGTTTTTTAACAAAATAATTTTGCAAATGACCAAAAAGAAGATCAGTAAATTTACGAGTTCCATTTAAACAAACAAACAAACAAACAAAACAAAACATAATAAAGCAAAAAACATTGCATGTTGATTTGGATTAGTGATCCGGAACCATTTCAAAAGAGTCAGTAAATGTTGGGCTTGTTTAAAAGCTGAACCAAGTAATAAAAAAAATAGATTCATTTTCAAATCTGATGTCTTTTTAAATCGATCTTTTTTCTCTATTAATAAATGTATATATTTGAGCATATCTCTGAACAACTTGAAAGGATCGTTCATCCAAATTAATATGTACTTTTTTGTCTGGTTTTCAGTATGACAAGGACACGTAAACAAAAAATCTAATTAGAACAAATTGTGAATCTGCGTC